TCAAATTTTCCACAGGAATATTTATTTATTTATTTCAAATGGCAGGCGTTTTGATAGATATCATTAGCCATTTAGCTGACTTCAGGCTTCACAGAGGGAAGGTTCATCAAAGAAGCATAATGTCGAGGGGCGGGGATCAGAAGAGCGATTCACAGATGTAAAAGAGGCAGACAGACACAAAGGTAGGGAAAAAGGTAAGATGAGTACTGTGATAGGGGTCGAATATGACAAGCAGTCGGGCCATGGTATTTTGAAGTCAGAAGTCAAATGCCGGTTAATAGACTTTTTTGCCGTATGAGTATACTTTGCCCAGGGTGCACCACGTGGAGGTAAGTCTATCGCACACCCCTCCACAGGAATATAATCCACTAAAACTCGACTGGTGAGAAAAGACTTAATTGCCTCAAATGAATCGATTCCGAGCCTATGTCTCTAAAGTAGAAAAATCGTGGACAAAATTGAATGGTGATGACTTATCAAAGATTAAAAGTTATTGAGATTCATATATTAAAGCAAATTCCATCTAAGATAATAAGCGGATTAAATCAATGTCAAATTCAAAAATTCATAGCATAAACGATAATTTATTAGTCATTGAAAAGAAGTATAGATTAGTGGGAATTGGGAAAAAATCGTAATATGTTTAAATTTAAGAGGGTAAATAAGAAACAACTAAGAAATGCTTTAGATCAGGTATTCGAATCAAATTGCAGTTGTTAAATACCACTAAAAGATAATTTTAAACAAAAAAGCAATAAAAAATAATAATTTAGGCATGGTATTAAGATTTGTTTAAATTTTTTACATCTCAGCAAGCGATATTTCTGTACAATATTATTAGGTCATCAAAATTGTTTTAATATTGTCTTTTGAAAGCGCCCTTTACATTTGCCTTCGCGTGATTACGGAATGGGTACATTCCATAGAAGTGAAAATACATTTCATGTAAGACTAAATTCTGATCTTTATTTAAATTTATAGTTTCTGAAATATAAAGAACAAATCAAACAAAAAGTTCGAATTTCTAATCGTCGGAATGATTTAATCGATGATGTAGGTAAATTTCAGTGAAGTTGATTTTTAGGACACCTTGGACAGTTATTTTGCTTTGACATTGGAAAATTGGACCCATCTCAATAAAAGCTGCGCATTCGGTAAGTTTGTTTTAAATAGATTTATTTTTAGCTGAATTTCGGTCGATCATCGCCCCTTATGTTCTCAGTCTAAAATTGATAATTTTGCATAAGGATGAAATTCTTGTCAATTTGCGTGATTTTCTTCTTAATAGCGACGAACTCTCGGCAGGACCAATTTTAGAGTATGCTTTATCTTTAGTAATAACTGTCTTTCTAGTTTATTGTGTGCTCTGTCGTGCGACCTACGTGAGGATTTTTATCCTTACTTTGGAGAGTTCTTCGAAATCATTAAGAATATTATTATTAAAGATAATCAGGATGCCGATGTCCTAAACTATGCCTTTAACTGTCTTTCACACTTGATCTACTTCCTCCACCGATTCATTTCAAAGGATATTAAAAACTTTCTTAATTTGTTTGTTCCTCTCTTGGTGCATAAAAAGGAATATATTCGCTGTTTTTCTGCTCAGTGTATGGCGTTTGTGATGCGAAAAATTCCCACACAAAGACTATTTAGTCTTTTATATAAATTGAATCAAGAACAGGAATTGATTTCTTGCAACTTCTGTGGAACTATTCTTGCGGAAATCTTGAGCTCTCCTGATGGAAACTTTCATTCATCGTCGGTTGAGGTAATGATCATTACCTTGACAAATTATTGTTTCTTTTAGATTTTTCATGTTCTCCTTGCTCTGATAACAAAAACGGATATACCCGAGGGCTTGCAATCGAATCAATCACTTCTTGAAATGCAGGAAAATGATGACATCGCTCTTTTCTGCAAAAATATTCTCATTTCGTCGCTACAAACTCTCGGAAATAGAAAATTAAATGCTGAGGCTCTTTTTACAATATGCAAATTGACTTTCTCCTATTTCTCTCATACTCCAGACTCAAGGTTTTTGATCCTAGTATCGTGCTGTGACGAGCTTATCGGCTTGATGCAAGACAAACATTGTCTACATCAATACGAAGTCAATATTGAAAAGTTCCTCTTTGAAAGTTTTTCCAAACATCCAAAGATTCAGTTGGCGGAACTTATTGTCAAGTTTCTTAATCTTGCATCCAATCATTTCAACCCATCTCGACTAATGAGTTCGGTATTGATTGGATCGGATTTTACCTCCGTTCAACAGATATCTCTTATGGAGCCTATAGTTCGACATAGATCTTTCGAAAAAGATTTCACGCAGATCTTATCTGATGTTATTCTCAGGCGTGACACAAATGAACCTATTGATGATGTTACGTTAACCTTTCTCGCGAAACTAGTTCTTATTCGTCAACCGCCTTCCTCTTCAGTCAAACCACTTAGTCCTCTGATTTGCCTTTCATTGGCTTCAGGGCATTATACTCCAGAGGTCTTGCATAAGATCGTTAATTGGATCATCCAACCACTATCCGAATCTACAATTTCTGTTGATCGAAAACTATGCTCCTCGATTATACTTCCTCATTTAAGGTTTGCAAAATGTTCCTTTTTATTGATTTCTTCCTTTAGCCCTCTCTCGGTGAATGAGGTTAGACCAATAATTACCGGAGAGATTCAGTCAACTTTCAGTCATCTAAAAGAATTGGATTTAAATACCGAGGACTTTACAAAATCAGCGTCCTACTTGTGCAGTTTGTACGAGGCCTTATTTTCTTGTGATGAATCAATTACCGAATTCTATATAGATGTTCCTTTTCTACAAGAAGCAGCTCTGTAAGTTAAGACCATGGTCTAAATCATGCCCTGCTATGAATCTGATTTCGAATTGGATTTGTTTTTTTTTTGAATTCAGATCCAAGAGATATGATAATTTGGAGCTGTGTGCTATTCTGCTTCGTATTATTGAAATAAGTGGACGGAAAGTCGAGCTCAGTGGGTTGAAAGCCGATACCATCATTCCGATTCTACTCTCTCCCAGCCATACGGTAGGACAATTTAATTTTGTCTATTTTGCTGTTTCTTAGTGAGCCTTTCAGAGATTCTTTTTTATCATGTTTTCTTGGTTTTATGATAGTTATCATTAGCCCTTTAGTTGACTTCA